CCGAGCGCCGCGTGCCTGCCCCAGGGGAAGGGCCGCCCCTAGGACCCTCCCCCGCCACGGCCGCGGGGCGGGTGGATGGGGCCGCCCGCCCAGCCCGGGAGCGGTTCCACTTCGTCGCCTTTGCGTGCTGCCCCGGGCACGGGACGCCCTTTCGCTTCCAGCGCATGAGGGAGGTTGCCGTGCCGAGTTAAATCCGGGGGCTGACGCTGTCTCCTGGCTTCACCTCCTAGACACGGAGGCTAAATTTAGCGGGGGCTGCGGCTCGTGTGTCCAGAGGCCAGGTTAAGCGGAGAGCCCGGCCCCTGAAGATGCCTTTGCTCCGGGTTTCCTGGGGAGCATCTTGGAGCCACTGGAAGTCTGCCCTCCTTGCTCAGGTCCTCTGGTCTGAGGTCCTGGCTGGGCAGGATGCTGTGCTGGCACCTTCAGCTGCGCCACCCCCTCCCCGGCCACCACCGCGACACCACACACACACCCATAGGCTGACTGACTTCTGCCGAGCTGTAGCTTCCCCTCACTGTTTCAGGAAGTCACCTCCCTTCCCCTCCGAAGCACCCCCACGCCTCCCGGCCCCTGCTGCAAGCCACCCACCAGGCTCTTTCTCAGCTTCTGCACCCCGGGGCGCCTCAGGACCCTTGGGGCTCCTACTCCCGGGGTCGGGCCATGGAGGCAGGTGAGAAAAGTTGCTTAGGGGCCTGACTCTCTGGGGTCTCCGCCTCAAAGGGCATGGGATAGCTGGAACTGTCCCCCACAGCCATTTCGGTCCTAACTGGAGATACCAAGAATCCTAGAGGGGGGAGGGTGGGCACTGGTTGTTTGGCCAGGCTGATGGAGTTACGCTAAAAAACAAGAAACGAGTACAGTGGAAAGAAACTGAAGTTTGGGTTTTGTGACCTTTCCCAGAAACCTGTAGTGTCCTCTTAGAAATTTAGGAGTGGGCTTTTTAAAAGAGCATTAGCTGGGTCGGGAGGTCCTTACAATGTCACAAGCAGAGCAGGAAAGCCAGAGACCTTTAAAAAACACTAAGGTTGGTATGATGTCATGGCCAGCACGGGTGATGTCATTATGGAAGACTGGTCGCAGTGACATTTTAACTTAATATTTAGGGAATGAGGAGGGGTGGGGGCCTTTCAAAGGGATGCAGGCCATAGGATGTCAGAACCCTGTTGTTGGCTGTCTGTGGTGGATTGGAGTTTGGCTTCTTTGAAGAGGTACCACTGAGTGGGAGGGACCTCCCTCTTTAAGGAGCTGAAGTAGGTGATGAGAGCTTGTGATGTCACAGGTGGGGGAGTTTAGGATTGGCTGACCACTTGTGCCACCTTTCCTTGGAAAGACCAGGAAGAGGAAGGCTTGGGGGGGGGGGAAATAGCACTCTGGTTGCCATGGCAACGCCAGACTCCTTTGCTCCATCTCTCCCCTACTTGACCATTTTAGATGCTGTGAGTGAAGGGGGTGTCATGGCGGAGGAGCGGCCCCCCCGGCTGGTGGATTATTTCGTGGTAGCTGGGCTTGCAGGGAACAGAGCACCTATTCCTGAGGAGACACAGATTCCTGAACCCAGTGGGCTCCTGCGCCCTCCCCGGCCAGCTGAGCCTATCACAGATGTGGCAGTCATCGCCAGGGCACTGGGCGAGGAGGTGCCCCAGGGCTACACCTGCATTCAGACTTCGGCTGGGGGCCACCCTTTGGAACTGAGTGCTGGGCTCCTGGGTGGAACGCAGCCCGTCATCTGCTACCGCAGGGGTCGTGACAAGCCACCCCTCGTTGAGCTGGGGTGTGTACCTATGGCTGGGGTGTGTACCTATGGGGTGTGCCTACGGTGGCACCAGGGGAGGCTGGGAGGAACTAGGGGTGAGATAGGGAGTGGTAGGAGGGGGATGGAGTGAGGGGAAAGCACAAGAATGGAAGCAGTGTGGGCCCAAGGCCAGGGATTTGGGGCCGAGCCCGCATGGGCTCCGTCCTCTCAGGTTTGGGGTCACAAGCAAGTGCTGTCTCTGGCCAGCCACCTGGTATTGGCTGAGTTGTGGAGACCCTCTGAGGTGTGGTTGCTCATTTGCAAGATGTAATCCCAGCTCTCTGGGAGGCTGAGGTAGGAGGATCACAAGTTTGAGCCCAGCCTGGCAACTTCACATGACCCTGCTCATGCTTCCAAGGGTAGGCGGTGGGGGCCGGAGACGGAGTGGCGGTAGAGGAAGGTGAGGAATTATAAAAATAATTATTTTTATTATTTAAAATAATTTAAAAGGAAACAAAAGAGCTAAAGATACAGCTTGGTGTGGAGGGCCCTGCGTTCAATCGCCAGGACTCCTGAAGAAAAGAGGATACTCATTCCTTGTGGGGTGGTTGAGAAGATTAAATGGGATACTCACAACCTGAGGGACTTAGCCCCGAGTCTGCCAGTGCTTGGTGTTTATTCAGGAGTATCAGCACTGTGGGAGCCCTGTGGGACTGTGACTGACTGAGACATGGAGCCGAGGGCACAAGGGGGCACAGGATCCTGCAGGGCGGAGTGCAGAAGAGGTTGGCTCTGGGATCAGGGTGTGAGGCCAAGGGTGAAGGTGGATTTAGGGCGCTAGGTGGGCAGGTGCGGCAGGGCTGCGTTCTCCTCCATCCTGAGCTCTTGACGTCTTTTTGCTGTCCGTGCCAAGGGTGTTTTACGAAGGGAAGGACCGACCCAAGCCTGGCTTCCAAGTGCTCGACACAACACCCTACAGCCACTCGGCCAATCTGGCCCCTCCGGGCCCTGGGCATCCCCGCACCTACCTCACTTACCGGCGGGCAGCAGAGGGGGCAGGGCTGCATGCTCTGGGCATCACTGACCTCTGCCTGGTGCTGCCCAGCAAGGGCGAGTGCACTCCTCACACCTATTGCCAACTGCCCCGCAACCTCAACCCTGGCATGGTGAGTGGGGCTGTGGGGCCAGGAGCTGAGACCGGGGCTACTGGTGTGAGGGGGTTGGTACTGGGCACAGAGGGCAGCCTGAGACCAAGGCCTTGTACCAGGACCAGACCAGAGTGTGGTCGGGCTTGGAGCACAGGGTTTAGTGGGACTCCGAAGACAAAGGACCACTTCGGGGTGGGAGAGGAAGGGGACGAGAAGCCTTGGCTAGCTGCGTGTCTGCTTGTCTCTTGCCATCTCTGGGTAGTGGGGCCCCGCTGTGCACCTGTGCTACAAGGTGGGCCTGGCCAAGGCCAACACGCTGGTGT